TTTTGGCCCCAAATTTTTCCTGGGCTACGTTAATCGGATCTTTATGTGTCACCCTGCATAGCTTGCTTTGCACTATCGAATTGTACCCAAAGTATGCTAGAAAAACGAGAACAGCTTGATTTATCTAGAAAAGGAGTCGCTTTCAAAAAACCTAACAGTAACTTCCTCGCAGACGGGGATTTCTTGAAAATATTACTGCAATGATGTAATAGCCTCTTAGGACGATGATCAAGTAGAGGTCTGTCTTTCCAAGACTTTCTAAGGTATCATTAGCCTACGCAAGGCGCAGAATGTACATGACAATTAATCGTAAGAACAAACTGTCCACTATAATTGCAGACTTGAAATTCTTCGAAAAACTCAGCAACAAACGAGAAAAGCAAAGATCAAAACTGCATAGAAAATGTAGATCTGCAGTTCATAAAACGTGATCAACTGCGTTTGTAAATTTAAAAAAAAACAAAGCCAATAAATCACCTTGTCAGCATGGGGTAGATTCCTAAAGCACGCAAATGATTTTGCCCAATCGATATACAACGCAATGATTCGCGATCTCCAAAAAGGCATTTTATTCTCATCCATCCCCGGCTTTGGCGAGGCAATTGGGTCGGTAATCTGTAAAGATAGAGATGCTCATGATTGGCACATCAAACTAGCGATTACACGATTAAACGTCTAACTAATTCGACTTACTCTGACACTAATGGGTTGATGGAAACGACTTGGCGCTGCTAATGCGTCATCTAGCGATGCATACGGCTCAATTTCAGCACGGCTTAACAGCAACGTCAAGTTATTCTCCAATGTCGTCAATCGCTCAAGCATGGGATCAACGTTATTCTACAAAAAAATTAAGTTCAAAGACAAAACAATACAGCGAAAAAATAGCCACTTACGTTCTCATGTTTGTGCTGATTTGAGTCTAAACAACTCGGACCGAGCAGGTCTTCATGGTCATGAAACGAATCAGGCGATGAAGCATGCCGGCTGCTAGAAAACATTTTTTATCAAACTTTCCGCAGCATAAGCATCATCGTACAAAAAACAAATGAAAAAATTAGTTCCATATTGCCAAATTCGAGAAAAAAGTACACAAAAAACGTTAAATTTGAAGAGCAGAAAAAAATTGAATAAATTTGAAGAGTTTCCATTATATAGAAACTAATGAAAATTACTTATATAGTACAACATCGAAAATTCATAGATTTATCTTAATGGCGGACCGAGGGGAGAGTGCGGGGGCGGGGGAGTCCCAAAAATTGGTTGCGTGATTTTTGAAAGTGATTTACAAAGTTGAAAAAACGTTTAAATAACCTATCTTTACAAATAAAGATGATTTTGAAAAGTTTTACATTCATATTATCTTTGAAGAAAATTGAGAACGCATTTGCCGCCAAGCCCCTTTTCTTCAAACCTCGGGTTAATTGGTCCGCAAAAATTTCCAAAAGCATCCTAACAACTTCCCAAAGTGCCTTACTTCCGCATATTTTCCCACCTCAGTCCCTCTCAGATCTTATTAATAAAGAGATTTTCTTATGTCAGACTTCTCCCATCCTTCAAAAGAAGCACTTTTCGCCAAGCGAAGTCAAAAGAAAATTATAATCATGAAACCACCAAACATCTCGCACTGGGATTAAGCGAGCATAGAGCAGCATCATAGAACATGCGCGTGGAATAAAAAACCAGGGCATTTGTAGGCTTTGTGCGCAATCGATAAACCGGCAGCGTCTATGAATTTCCAGGAAGCATATGAAAAACGAGAAATTGTTTTACTTTATAAAGCTGCACTATGTGGAGTAAAGTGGTATAGCTTTTGAACATTACCGAAATACAGGGTGTCCCAAAAAATGTATCGAACGTTTGA